CTCAGCTTGCTCAGGTCGAGTCTGATACTGGGTCTTCAGCCTGAGCTCAGAAGGCAGGGAGAGTTACATTAGGCAGTCAGGGCTCTCAGTGCACTTCCCGCACTTCCCCACTTGGAAAACTGTGAAATCATCAAAATGACATATTCGAATTACATTATTTTGGTAGAACAGAAGGACAGAAGAGGAAAAAGCTTTAAGTCAGTCTTCTTGATGTACAAAGACAAGACATTTGCCCTCTTGAAGAAGACTGCTGTTCCTTGTCTGCAGTCACTGCCAGGTGTGATGACGGCTGTCACAAACCCTGCTTTAGCCTCCTTGGGCTAGAGGCCTCAGGAGACCTTATTTGGCTGTGCAGTGCTGAAACCCTGCTGACCCCTGGCCACTCCACATTGTTGGTTTCTCAGGTAATGACTAAGCCTTTAATGAGCGACTCTCATTTTTAATTAGTGATCTGTAAATAAAAAAGTATATAAACTATATGTAGAATACAAAAGATGTATAAGAGCCTATAAATATAATAGATTCTTACACAGAGTGTATGTTCATCAGTCACAGATTCTTTCTCTGAAAATAGAGACATAACCTTGCTTTGATATACAGGCCCATCTGCAGTTTCGCAAGGCTCAGGAGATTTAGTTAACAATCAAACTTTTCTAGAATTGTCAATTCTTCTTTTTTGAGGTGTGGTACACTGAGTAACTTCCCTCATTTCCTTTATTTTCTTTTATAATCTGTAATTGCATACAAGGCTGACAAACAATCTCAGAACTCTGTTCAGTATAATATTATCTGGTGAGTCTTTGGTCAACCTCACCTGAGATGCCAGTTGCTACATATGCATATATAGCTGTTAACATTATCATGTTATGTTCAACTTACTTGTCTGAGCTCACATAATGACTGTAAGAAAGATTTTACATTTGATGTTGAAAAGTTCTCCATCATGAGGTGTATTTATGATATTTCTGCAAGGTAGAACAGTTTAGAAAGAAGTTTCAGAAAATGCACTAAAACCCATAAAACTTAGGGAAATACAGTGAATGGAAGAGTGAATATCAAGGTTATAAAGAAGAGCCATTTTTTGGTTAACTTCTAGGAAGTTCATTGTCGTATAGACAGAAATAAACATAATCACTTGGAAAACTTTATGTGGCATAATTTTTTAAAAATTTTTTTTACAAATAAGTTACATGGATAAATATATCTGTACACAAACACTGCATGAAAGGGTAGGTTTCATTCTTAGGAAATTTTAAACTCTTTTTTTTTAAAGAATTTTCATGGAGATTGGAACACATGTTAAGAAGCCTGGCCTGATCTTTCATTTCTCTTACCTCATCTCTGAAGAATAAGTAGGAAAGGAGGTAGTTTATAAAATCTTGACTGTGAAGAACGGAAGACTGATTTTTCTCTGAGCTGTAATAACATATTGATGATATATAATGACACCCTTAGCATCCTACATCAGTTAGAGAGTTGCATTTGAGTTGCACAACTTACTTGTGGGGTAAAAGTGGGGATATTGATATTACCCATTCCTTAATGCATATGTTCATTGGAAATAAGCAATAAAAAATTGTGTACTGAAAACTAAATTTTCAGCACATAGGTAAGGCAGTAAAATTCTGTTCAAAGCTTTCCTGTACTGTGCCCTTAATAGGTGCAAAAAAAAAAAAAAAAAAGAAGAAAATGATGCATTGGTAGAGCTTTACTGATGCACTTGTGTGAGAGGTACATCACACATTTTAGCTGGCACCTGAGCGGTTGGCATACATATTTCATGACAGAGAAGAATGTGCTCTTTGTGCCTGACTGCACACCCCTGTGCAGGATACCAAAGTGCTTTTTACATAAAGAGTGGTGTGGAACAGTCTTTTACGGGAATAGAGTTCATCAAAAAGTCCACAGGAAGCAATCCTGGGGAAGATGCTCCCATCTCATAATGCTGAAGTGAAAGTTAGGAAATGCTGACTGATTTTGTAGAGCATCAGTCCCTCCTTCAGGTGCCTCTGCTGTGACTGTCTGCTGGTCAGAGTGCAGTAGGAAAGAGCAGAGATGCAGTGTCCTGCCATCACCCAGGGACATCATAGAAAAATTGGATAATCAAAAAATTAATGACCTAGGGTGAGGAAGCCTGTTTGTTTAGGTTTACATCTATTTCTCAGGCAGTGCAGCAATAGTCAGTATTGATAAAATCATCAGTATTATGGTAAGATCTATATGGTGTCAGATAAGCATCACTGTAAATTATAATATTTGTTTTAGAAGCCAAGAGCAAAACTTCAAAGGCAGGTTGTAAAGGGGAATAAACCAGCTTTTCTTGCCTTCAGAAAGGTCTGCCTTAGACCTAGGCATATTCTTGTTCAGCTGGAAGGAGTATATGCTGGTGTAATTTTATAATACTGAAACAAAAGTAGTCAGCTGGAACCAAATGAATATGCACTTCTTTCACCTCTCCCTACTTGCTAGGATAATTTTATCTTTTTTTTTTTTTTAAAACAGTAGAGAGAGTTAGAGTAGGTATGGAGACTGTAGTCTACTATCTAGAGTTGTTCTTTATGTACAAGCTACAGATACTGTCTAGTTTTTTACTTCTACCCTCTAGTAAATTCTATAAAGCCAAGAAACTCAGCTTAGTCTGCTTTTGCTGTGGGGTGACCTAAGTAGAATACCTCATCTTCTGGTGGATTTGAAGTACGTATACTGAGAATCATTTAGATTCAGATTAACCTGAGAAACTGTTGAACACAGTGATTCAATACTTTGGTAAATGCTAACACTATGCATTTGCTGCAGAGTTAGTTATTTTCATAAAGGTTGTTTCCATGACATTATAAAATTTAAATTAGAGTAGTCACACACTGTGGTGACATCCATCATGGGCCAGAAACTTGAATGAAAAATCTTATTGTAATGCAAATATTTGGTTGTCATTATGGCTCAAGCACGGGGCAGACTTGACAGTTTTGAGGAATCAAATTGAGCTCATACTTGAGTTAACTCTAGTAGAGCCAGGACTAGGATTACGTGAACGCTTTTCACTTTTGATCTGACTGATGGCACCATAGCCTCAGATGTGCAAGTCAAAAGCAATGAGATAGATCATTGCTGTCTTGTATGCAACTCACGTAATAGCAGTAACAAATCTGTTTTTCTTTGAAGATGATAACTTTGCTACATGTGAAGCGTGGATGAAAAAAGTACTGTAATGTTTCCCTATTTTCATTTTGTCCCATTGCTCATCTCTTTAGCATGTTAAGTATGCATTGCATACTTGGCAACTACTTCCTTCAGTTTATTTTAAGAGTTCCTCATATGATTTCTAGATACGGGTGGCTTCAACATTTCCATTATAAAAGCTTTTCTGAATTCTTTAGAGAAATGCTGACACTATTATCACATTCATGACATGTCTTTAGATTTTGGCAAGTAGAAAGCCTTAAGGTTAGAGAAATGCCTTTTTTTTTGTTCCCTCAAAAGCCACTCAGCTATAAGCTTGTTACATCTCTATTTCTCTTTGTTCTTCAGAAATTGCTCCAGAAATTTCAGGCATCCGAAAAATAACATGAAAGAACACAGGAACATTCAAAGGGCTTGTGTACACTTGGAAAATGCAGCAAAGTGTACTTTTAGGTTTGATATTTTGGACTAACTTCCTATGTACACACTTGGTTTTATACAAAGGTGAACAAAGATGCAGTTGTAGGGTGCTAATGAGGAGAGAGTATTGCTGTATGGCTGTTATGGATTGGCTGTTTCAGAGTTTTCCTCCTTAAAGACAAGCTCTAACCTTAGGAACCCCAAGTGCCTGAAGCACCTGGTATGCAGCGTAGTCCAGTCTTTTCACTTGCCTTTGCTGGGTATGTGGCACCACATCCTTCCCTTCAGTCAGCCCAGAAGCAACAGACAAATGACTTTCATGGAGGAATCAGTTGCCTGCTGATGGTCTACACCCTCTGCATTCTCACATGAGCTCTGGGTTGACACCCTTCCCTCGTGGGAAGGCCATGCCGTCATCCTTCGTGTGCTAGCTGCAAGAAGGACTATTTAGTGTACAAAGACTGCAGAGAAAATCTTGTCTTTCTATTGAAAAGTATCTGTTCGAGTTCTATTTAAGTAGCAACCTGGAAGTTGGCAAGCAAAATTAATAAAATCCTTGGTAGTTTTAATAAAAGTTTTAAATGCTTGCTCTCACACACTAGGGAGCCACAGATTTAGAAGGTTGTACAAGCCTGTACAAACCTAATTCTCTTTCACTAAATGTGCTTTATGCTATAGTCTTCTATTGTACAGACTGTTTTTCTGTAGTGCTAGTTCTTGATTTAGTGCAAAGATTAGTGCAGCCAGAAGCAAAAGTAATGCTGCAGAGTCAACTGTAAGTTTTGTACTTCCTAACTTTTGAATGCTTTACTTTGGTCTGCTAACACTTAAAATCAATTTTGGTGGGCAAGATGGCTTTCACTGAAACAACTGTATCAATAAAAATCAGTGTTGATAGAGGTACAATAATGTAGTGCTCCTTTTTTTTTCACATAAAATGATAGTTCTATAAATCATCTTTGTAACTCCTGCCTCATGGAAAGAGTTAAAATCTACTGTCTGTCTTTGTATTCTTTTTTCTATCAGTCAGAAACTTGAAAAAATCAGTATGTTCAACTTAGAAAGAAGAACTCTGTGTGTATGTATACCTTCAGGAGGAGAATGACTCCAAAAGGACTAAATAGTCTACTATTGAAAAATCAGAGTCAACACAGCAGAAAGCTGAAGTCGGTTTAATATTAGAAATTAGGCATTAATTTTTAACAGGTAGAACAACTGTAATTGTTATAACAGATTACTGAGAGAAATAGTGGTTGCTGCATGTCTAGATATCCTCAAATTAAGTCTAGATATCCATGTGAAAAGGTGGACTCTATTCCAATCAAAGTTATTGCATTCAAAGTAAGGGATAAGGGGAAGTTAAATAACTTGTGATTAGGATCAGTCTACATAATCTAGTGAGTCTTACTTTTTAAGTTTTAAGTTTTCTATGAAACTTTATTGTTCTCTGGATGTAATTTATACAATACTTTTAAAAATGGAATTTTACCAACCCGTTTTCCAGCCTGGGAGCAAGAAAACATTTCTTGGCATCTGTTACTTGCACTTCAAGCTTTTAAAAGTACTTTTGTTTGACTCCATGTCTCACAGTGCACCTAAGGGATGCACAAATAGCCCTTCTGTGCGTATATTGTTGTTGCTAAAGTGCATTTCTGACTCAGCATGCAGCATTGGAAACACATACAGGTCCTGGAGATCATCATTTGTTGGATTAAAATAGATGAAGTCAAAGCTATCTAACCACAGTATGTTCGAGTATTACTCTCTCACTGATATTCTGGTTCAAGAATTTTGTTAAAATAATGTTTTAAAAAACTTACATGCTTCAACACTTAATTTTGAACTTTGAATGTCAGAAGCAGGCTTTTGCCTTGCCTTGATCTGTTGGACTAGTAACAATTTCAGATCTCACGTTTCTGTTGCCCAAATATAGTCAAATTTTGCTCAGTGAGTGAGCTGGATATCAAATTCAGGCTCTGCTTACCAGTGTGCTGCTCCCTAACAATATGCAATTCTGTCTTTGACTGTGGGCCCAAACTCATCTTCTGGAAATCACTCATTTAGAAACAAAGCATTTGTGCCACAACAGTGACACTGCTCAGAACAACATGAACACTCTAATGTTAAGAAAGAATAGACAATGAAAGTACAAAGACACTGCTTGGTTTTAAGTAGAATATAAGGTAGGTCAGCACTATTGTTTGTTAAGCTTTTGCTGCATTGTTACGAACAAAACCAGGTTTATAAAGAACTTTTTATGAATTGCACCTTCACAACATTTTTTCCTGCTCTTTTCACAGGACGTTACCCAAAACTAGTGTTTCATTTTGAACTCAAGAGAAACATCTTGTACTTCATACTAGAGACATATATACCATCAATCCTACTGGTTGTGCTCTCCTGGGTATCATTTTGGATAAGCCAGTCATCAGTTCCAGCCAGAATCTGCATAGGTGAGAAGCTGACAAACCAAACCAAACCAAAAGAAATCAAACCAGGAGTTGGATCATTAAGGTGCTTGCTTTATTGGGTGTAGATATCATCCATTTCTAAAAGTTGCAAACACTTCTGAGTTGTCTGGAATTACTTTTCTGGTTTGCCATTTGCAGTACATCATGCAGATTCTCCTTAAAGCCTTGCTATTCATTAATTAAGAAAATGTCTTGGGGAGCTACAGGAGACTTGGAGGCAGAGGAGGCTGAAAGCAGTGGAAAAAAGTAATTTTGGAAATAATTTCAACATATTCAAAGACATTAAATGTCTTTGGACAGAATTGTAAGGCTTTTTTTGAGCTGTAATGATGCAAGCTAATTAACATGAATAATAAAAGAATTATAAGAGATTAAATATAATTAATTTCAAATAAAGGATATTCTGAAAGGGAAGGAATGCAAATCAGTTCTGATCAGACTGCAGGTAAGGTGGGAAAAACAATCCTACAGAATAGGGAAGAAAGAAAGATTTCACATTAGATGAGGACAGTGGGCGACTACATTGAGCAAAATGTTATCTGAATGTTTAAAAGGGAGCATTTGCTTAGTAATGAAATAATAATGTGTTCATCATAAATATATATTCTGTGACACCAAAACATCTCTCATTTTAATGTCTAGTCTTCTCAGCTTTACAAATGTTTTTCCACCAGTGTTTTTAAGCATTTAACTTAAGAATCATAAGTTCATTTGAAAGTCTTCCTTCCAAAACACGGCACATGAAATGCTCTGGCATATTAGGAGTTCACTGAGCTAGGAAAAACTGTTTTGTAGCAAGGCCTTTGCAGTAAAGGCCTTCATTGCTATCCATGTTTTGTCAGAACTTATATTTTTGCATTCCACAGGTGTTACCACAGTCCTTACTATGACAACACTGATGATGGGAGCCAGGACTTCACTTCCAAGTGCTAATTGCTTTATTAAGGCAATTGATGTGTACCTTGGTATCTGCTTCAGTTTCATCTTTGGAGCACTGTTAGAGTATGCTGTGGCTCATTTCTGCACCCTTCATCGACTCAGTTCAAAGGAAATTCCAAAGGTATTTCAATTCCTTGATTGTTGTCCTACAAAACAGTTTTCAATTATACCTGCTAAAGAGAATTAATTATCTTGGCACTAATGATACTTAATGTAATCCTTAAATGTATTTAAGGAAGTTTCTGTTTTGGAATGAGGACAGTGAAACAGAATAACCTTGTGAAAAAGAAAAATTGTTTGTGTACCTGGAAGTTTCTGGAAGAGATCAAACTGAAACACCCTTCCATAATGATTCTCTTTTGACAGGGACTTATGGCCATTTATCAAACAATGTGCTAGACAAATCACAGGCATTTGTCTCTCCAGTAATGGCAAACACAGGTCAAAAATCAGACTGAGCTGGGTGACTTGATCTTATTGCAATACAGCAAAAAAGATTTTATCACATTCTGTTTATGAAACTGCACATGCATGGTACCTGAGTCAGTTTACTAGCAGGCAGCTTCACATATTACGTGTCTCAAATCCGTATAGCCTTCTGCTTACATCTTCCGTTTCAACAGCTGCAGCTGAAGCTCAGACTGGGATTCACTTTCTCTTCCGCATCCTTTTTACAGTAGTGCTTTTAGCTGCTTGTCACAATTTTGAAATACTGTAGAATTTACTTAAAATAAAAAGGATCAAATCAACATAGGCGTTTTTGAGTCGGGTGGTTGCTGTCTTACTGAAATAATCAGGACAAGTTCATAAAGAAATTTTGTCACATCTTCCATCTCCAGCATTTAGCTTTGCTTTCATAAGCAGTGAGAAAGAAATCACAAGAAGTTGGAAGCTGATTGTCTTACATCTTTTAATTATTAACTGAATCTAATATGCATGATAGAGAAGAAAATTTTTAGCACCTCATGAAACTTCTGGATGAATAGAAAAAAGTTAGACACAGGAAGTGAGAATAACAGAAAAAAAAAAAGGGTGGGGAAGAACATTGGTTGAGTGCTGTAGGGATAAATGGCAACAAGAAGATAGATTTGCAACTATTTAAGCCAAACGAGAAGAGACCATCAAAATGCCTGAGCAAAGCTTCTCAGCAGGCCAAAGAAACAGTATATTGAGTTCAAATGGAGAAGCTTAAAACCAGTGAAGATCAGCTATGGTGTCTTTATGCCTGGACAGCTCAACAATTAATATGGGATTTTGTCTGTTTGGGTGAAAGATAAGTTCTGTAAAGGCACAGGAGTGTGTTCAAAGCCGTCATTAGAACTGGGTACGTGGAGAAAGACTGCAAAATGGACACAAAGCTAAGCCAACCAGTAGGTTTTAAAGAACAATATTTAATGAGAGAATGTCTGCAAATGGGCAAACACTTGTTTCGAGTGAGGATTTGAGTGGAAAGCATGAAAATAATTTTTCTTGGCAAGGTAGCATCAGTGACAATTCCCTCTGAGCATATCCATCTTGTGAAGTAAGTGGTTGTCATTTTGCTCATAAAGCAGAAAAAAAAAAAAAAGCTTATTGGAGGTTTGGGGAAAAAAGTGAAGTGTTTCAGTGCTCGGATAATTAAACATCTGTGGATTTGTGAAGGGCACTTATGCCCTTGCTTCACCTACCTGTGTCAGATTCCCTTCCATCTGGGGCACGCATACTAGCACTTGCAGATGGAACAGACATGGGAACTCAAGGACTTGAAAGATGTAGAGCAAGTGGAGGTACAGTGCAAAAGTGAGGAAGGAAGAAAGACCTGAGGTACAGTTTTGTGATGGACTTATTGACTGAAAGGAGTGGTCTGTCACTTCAGACATGACCCTGCCTTTTGCTGTGCATGAGGAGTGAGCAAGCCAGTCCAACTCACTTCTTGCCCACACAAATACATACATATAAGGGCAGGGCCCGCTGGTTGGCCCTATATGAATTCAAGTCTCAGTAGAATAAGGAAAAAGCCTGTCATGTCCTTTTCCTGCTGGAGCCAAGGACGAGCACTGAGCAGGGTGCCATGGAGAGCACACCTGACTTGTATTTCTCATTCCTCACTGTAAAAAACCAAAACATCACAAGGACATAAGTAGCAGCTAAAATCTCATGTCACTGTCTAGCAGGTACTTAAATTTCTGTGTGAATATTGTCACCATAAATGTGTTCTCCTCATTATCGTATTCTCTTGTGGACACAGGTTAATTAGAAATCTCATTTCCCGGTTTTGTTATTCCCTTGTGAGAGCTGATATAAAATTTGCACTTAGAATTATGTAAATAAATGTAGGAGGTGAATTGAAAATGTAACCCTCTGCCTTGTATAGGAATTAGTTATACTGGTTTGCTTTCTAGTTTGCTCTTTAAAGCAGTTGGGCACTGGCATATGAGGTCCTTTTGAAGCCTTTAGGGTATCCCATTTAGAATCTAAACTAGTGAAAGAGCTCATCATATCCACATTCTTGAGGTGTCCCACATTGGGTGAACTAGGACCCACAGAGAAAGCTTCAAAACTAACAGCAAAAACAGAAGAACCACCCTTTGCAAGGAAGGTGAGGCAAAATGTGCCGTTCACATCAGCTACATAACAGACTACTTAAACGGAAAAGTTTCCTCTCCAAAATCCCAAGTTTCTTCTCTTTTATACAAAGATATGAATTATGCTCTCCTGTAAAATGGAGAAATTCTCCTTGGCCCTCCTTTGTCTTTCACCTAAACCTCTTCCTTTTGGTCAGACAGGAGAAAAATTTGAAAACTTAAAATAAGGTTACAAAGGCAGCATTCAGCCTATGTGGCATTTCTGTGCAAGCATCGTGCAGTCTTTCTGAACACTGCACAAGATCCAGGTGTGCAACAGTCTAGGTTGAAAAATGTTTAATCTTGAGCATCTTTATTATTCAATGGAAGTGACCACTTTCCTCAATTCTGTTGGCTGTTAGATGTCAGCAAACACTTCAGTTAGTGGGCACAGTAGCGGGTACTATGTACAGTGCTTTTCAGGTGATATACAGTACTTTTCCTGGATGTGGCCAATTCTGTCTCCACACAGAGCATGTTTTAGTGCCAGCTGCCATTTTCTTACTGACAACTGGAATACAGAGAAAACTTAGTGTGACATTTAAAAATAGAGCCACAGTTGAACACTCACAACACTTGTGGTTTGGTTGTTTTTTTTTTTTTTTTTTTTTTTTTGTACACCAGCCTAGTCTTTCATCACATTCATTTCTCCATAAAAAGCTGGTGAAGTCCCTTGATAGTCCCAATTTACAAGACTGCAGATTTTTGTAAACTAGCAGTTGTGGTTCACCTTTAGACTAGCCTGCTCCTTTTTAAGCAATGCGGTACAACACTTTTGCTGTAAATTTGTCTCTGTTCTGTGAGAGCCCTACCTTTTAATATTGCAAACAGAATCGGGTACATATGCACTGTAAATGGTATTTTCTGCTTAACTAAACTGCCTCTTGGGGAGTAAAAAGGAGTTAAGAACAGCCTCCTGTGATTTGTTCACATGCAGTTGTGTAAAAAGAAAATCTGGCATGTATGCTATCTGCTGTCATGCTCTGCAGTGAAACTAATGCTGTAGAACTTTTAGCCGGCCCTACCTGAACGATAAATAGACTCCTATACTGAATCATGTCCCAGATCCAGCCAGTTTTGAAGTATAGATGTTGTTTTGCTCTTTCCCATA